TGGGAAGTGGGAGTGTGTGTATGTGTGTGCATGGAGGGGGGGGGGTCTTAGGAGGGGTGGGGTTGTGAATTAAAACCATACCTTCAATCCATCACTGGAGCCGGTCTGGACGTCAGGGCAATGCAGCAACATGTGGAAAGAATTTATGACCTAGTTTTCATTTCCTTGTTTAATACGATATTGGGTGCTTTAAGAGGGAGAGAGAGAATGGGAGCAGAAAGAAAGGAAGCAGAGAGAGGGAGTGGGAGATTAGGAGAGCGAGACAGTTTCACCTCCATGTACGTTTTTATGAAGCAAAGCAGCGAGACATGCTTGACGAAGGAGAGCTTAGAACATCAGGACTGAAAGTCTCAGTCCATCTGGTTCATTTATTGTCCGTAATTAAGTTATTGTAAATGATGTTTCCTCCCTGAGCTTTGATTGGAGGCAGGCCTCTCGTCCAGCAGGCCAGCTGATTGATCCACTGAAGGAAGTGTAGAGCAGAAACCTCATGACATTAAATTACTTGAAGAGTAAAGGTTTTATCTCTTTTCATTCAATATACAACCAGCTGCATTTATTAAGAAGAGCAGTGTATGTCACAGTGGTGGAAGAAGTGCTCAGATATTGTACTTAATAAAAAGAAGTAATACCACAGTGTTCAAATACTCTGTTACAAGTAAAAGTCCTGCATTTAAATTTTTACTTGAGTAAATCTACAAAAGTGTACATCAGAATATACTTAATGTACCAAAAGAACTCAGTGTAGCCCATTTCAGGAAAATATATATTCTATTATTGTATTATGATTATTAATGCATTAATATGTTCATCACTTCAGTGTTACAGCTGGTAAAGGTGGAGCTCATTTTAATTATTTATGACCTGCTGCGTAGCTTGTGACACCCCCACCCCACCTCCAGGGATCAATAATGTTTCATCTTAATCTGTAATGTTACTACATCATTTTATTTGTTGATTATATTTTGTATTATTTATCTGAATCTGCAAACTAAATAAACAAACCAAAATAACTAACTAAATGAATAAGTGTAGTGGAGTAAAAAGCACAAAATTTGCCTCTAAAATGTCGTAAGGTAGAAGTAGAGGTGTTGAAATATAACAGTATTGACGATAACCATGATACTAAAAAAATTCAAATATAGATATCATGTTAGTAATACATATATGATAATATAATGTGAATAATTCAGCAAATCTTTTAATATTTTTGTTCTTGTTTTGTCTCCCTCTCCACCTCCCTACACTTGTATTTTGAGTGTACCGTAAAACTAAGACCGAGTGGCTTGGAGAAAATCAAATAATACAATATTTTGGACCAAATACGTCAATATTGATATCGTGATGATATGGTAGGGTTGACTGTTGGTGCTTTTACGAAATATTTACACAATGAGATATTTGATAAATAATCATCAGTAATGGAGATGTAATGAGTGGTGTGAAGGGAGTGGGTAAAGGCAGATAAGAGAACAGCGAGAATAGTCTGATAGGTTCCCGAAAACTACATCACTTTACTGTAATGCAGTCTTTAAAACCAGTAAAAGACAACTGTCATGATGTATGATGACCAAAATCTAAGATGATATCTAGTCTATATCATTGTATCAATGTAATGTTGAAATATTGTCCAGCCCTACATAAACGAAACAAAATGCCAGGCCCTTTGTACTAGCCTGGTGTGGCTACACATTTTGACAAATAAACACAGGTCTCAGTTAGATGCCATGTCTGGTTGTTTCTGGTTCTTTGGATGTAAAAAACCTCTGAGAGCTGACCGGGTCATAGGCTACCCGCTTGAGCTTATGTTAGTGAGCTGCTTGGATTGCTCATACAAATATTGGCCTAGATGTTTAAACTTTTGTCATGCAACACTTTGTTAGCTCGGTTAGATCCACAATTAATTCGTTAAGTTCATTTTACGGAAACCATGAGCACCAAAGAATAATTTATTAAGATTTACTGGCATGGTAAATAAGAGAGGCGGAAAAAGTGCTGACTCCCTATCTCTGAAGCAGTCGGCTAGTCTGAATGAGTCTATTCCTCAATTATTTATATACCTTTAGTCGGTAAGGGTCCACCAATCAGAGGAATCAGTTTTTCCATGAAAATTAATTTAAGAGGATAAAGAAACCTGTTGTGCCGGTATTCTGGGTGCTGTAATCCTTGGATTCCCTATCCTTGGATTCCATCTCCAGTAGTTACTTGGAGTTGTATAAAGGTACTGAAGCCAAGTCACGGCAGTAGAAGTGGGTCACAGTAAGACAGGAAGTGACTCCATCCTTCCACTGAGACGCAGGACGCCGGAGGGTCAGCCGGTGACTGGGTCAGGCGGGAAAGCCCTTCAGCTCCCTCTTTCCTGTTGTTCTCTGCTCTGTGTCATGCCCTGACCTGACAGTCATGTGTGTCAAGATTCAGGATCAGGTCTCTGCTTCCTGCTTTCTTGCTCTGATTATCTTCAGTCACGTTTCAGACGGTGGTCAGGAAATCATTTTTGCCCAGTGCAACTTTTATTTTTTCTCTGTCCTGATGAGATGCTTTGGATGCCATGATGGCACTGATAGCAGGAAATGTTATCGTACCAGAGGATGGTGGTGGTCACAGAGATAATTTGCTGCAGTCATCAGAAACTGAAGCACATTTGATCTATTGTGGGTTTTTGCCTAAAGATGGTGCAGCAGATTCCCCTTAAATTACTGGCAGGATTGTAATAAAATGTGGTTTAATTACTTACAGTCTCCAGACATGTGCTCCTACTGAATCTTGTACATGGACTGCTTTTATAGATGGATCTGGTGTCTGTGGTGAAAGAAACTCATTTACAGTGACAGTGAAAGCAGGGATGTTTTACCCCCACCAACAGATAAAGGCAGTCTGTTAATGTAGAGAATATTCAGCTTTAAAGCCCTAGTCTGAAATTAATCATGACACACGCTTAAATGTTCTGTATGTGAAATTCAGAGCATTAATATAGCAGCAAACCACTATTTGTTATTTAAAGATAAAATGCAATAATGGTATCCTGAGCAGAGAATGAAGTCCTCTATATGTGTTGTTTCTCTGTGGTTTGTTGTAGGGCTGCTCGATTATTGAAAAAATCATTATCACGATTATTTTTGGTCAAAATTGAAATCACAATTATGCGGCGCACGGCATGTCATTTTTGTCTTGACATGGTGTTTACAAATCTCCTCAGCTTTCTGTATCGCACATGGCGGAGTTTGGCCCCGAAGCGCGCACACACACACACACGCACAAACACACACACAGACCAACCTCTCTTGCTCTCCCTCTGCCATTTTCCGCACACTGTTTTTGAAATCTTACGTGATCATCTGCCCCTCGCATTATTCATAGTTCACCTACTTGACTGGCTCGTGGAGTGAATAGAGGAGAGGAGGGGAGGGGCGGTAATGCACATGTGCAGCTTCCGTAGAAGACAAAACATCTCCAGGCGTCCGTGACCAAAAATCATTTACCCTCGATTTCATTGATTTTGAAATTGTTTGACCTCAAAATCGTGATCACGATCACCAGATGATTAATTGCACAGCCTTAGTTTGTTGATGTTGGTAAACCAGTCCAGCCGCACATGCATGTTAGTGCATGTGTGTATCCCAATGGCTAGCTCATTGCCACTGCTTTGCACTGCGCTCATACAGCGGTTACCACTGATATCAGGACATCTACATCACAGAAGTGTAATGCCTACTCTCCAGTTCCCCTCTGGTTAACACCATTAGCTCTGTCAGCACTGTTGCTGTTGTTAAGCACTTTTCATGTAATTAGCAACATTAGCTGCTAAATAAAATTACATTAATACATTGCTTATGTCCAATCTGAATGGATAAATCCAGCAGAAATTATATGCTAGATTACAATTTAAATGATTCAGTTCTAAGTTTCCGTTTCTCAAAATAACAAGAAACAGATCATTGAAGAGGAATTCCAAACACAGGATATTTTAAAAGTGGAATTTCAGGCAGGAAATGCAGTCCTTGTCCTTTGCAATCAAAACAATAATAATGGAATTCTAGGAAAGTAAAACTGATTGTATGGAGCAGAGGCCTGACGCTTTTACTTTCCTTTTTCCTAAAACCTCGGTTTGTTGTCGGACTAAATGTCATTGAGAAGTTATGTAGATTATAATCTTTATTTTAATGGCATTCAATGACTAGATTTTCAACATATAACCAGTCCTACAGGATCTGTTTGAGTCTAGACACATTTAACAGTGACATCATGTGCATACATTTACCTGCACGTTTAAAGATGAGCTGCACTGCAGCAATGGCAGCGTGTCTACTTCAGTGCAGCTCTTTTTTTTAAAAAATTCAGTGAATCAACAAACCACATGAGAGTTGACTGGGCTTCTCAAGTTATGATTTGAATCAAGACTAGAAAGTAGTGATCAAAAACTCCCCAAAGTACCTTCAAGGACAGGGCAACCCAAAATCAAAAATACATATTTTCCCTCTTACCTGTAGTGCCGTTTATTAGTCTACATCTGTTCTGGTCTGAGTTGCTGAGTGTTGGAGATATCGGCCATAGAGATGTCTGCCTTCTCTCCGGCATAATGGAACTAGATAGTACTCGGCTTGTGGTGCTCAAAGCGCCAAAAAAATACATTTGAACTTAAAACTACATCCACCAGCTGCACCACTTAGCAGGAGGAAGCATGCATCTACTGCTAGCTCACCTAGCTCCACTGAACTAGCTAATGTTACAGCTCAGCTGAGGAGCACGACATTAATGTTTACATCTCACGCTGTCACAAGGACAAGCCTTTTGTTCATGAGTGGATGCACACTTAATCTGTGCACTGATGGGGTTACCGATTTTTGTTTGTTAGAAAGAAAATAGTTCCTATTTCTAAGGTCAAAAATTAACTTTCACGCTCATCTGTATGTTGTTTGGCACTTTAATATTGCTATCTATGTTTTATTTTAATAAAGTATCATCAATTAACGTTCCCTCTCTCTCTGTCTCTCTTGTCACAGGTCTGTTTTTGATCCTGGGTCTGATGTTGTACCCCGCTGGCTGGGGTTCAGACAAGGTCCAGCTGTACTGCGGCCCTGATGCGGCTCCATACCGGGCTGGGCTCTGCTCCATGGGCTGGGCCTTCTACACTGCCATGGGCGGCACTGTGCTCACCTTCATCTGCGCCGTCTTCTCTGCACAGGCTGAGATCGCCACCTCCAGCGACAAGGTTCAGGAGGAGATCGAGGAGGGGAAAAGCCTTATCTGCCTCCTCTGAGGCCCAGATACTTAAGTCCTGTTGGGAAGAGAAGAAGAGGAAGCAGAAGGGAGAGACACCTGCCCTTCTGTCTGCTCTCATGAGGCTGGCCTGTGAAATGGAGGCCCCTGCATTGTTTACCACTAAAACTGACTCTTTGTTTGTCTCTGTTTTGTGTGTTTATGTGGGAGAAATCTACAAGTGCCAAGTTTTTTTCTCAGTGTTTGTCATTCAGCCACTAGAGGTGCTGTGTCTGTTATTGTATTCATGTTCAAGCATGTGGGTGCCTAGAGAGGCTCTGTCTGTCACCACATGTTCTGTAAATAAGTGTGATTATATATATTTTGTACATAGTTATGATCGCAGAATGAAAATTGGTCAGCTTGATCCAGGCTGGGCTGATGATGTCACTCTTGCCTTAAAAACACTGGTGTTTTTGTCACCAGACCACGACCAGCGAACCTGGATCTGTTAACTGTTTGTGTGAGCATTAACTCAACAAGGGAACCACTACTCAGTCAGAATAAACTACTCACAGAATAAATAGCTTCAGTTCAGAGTGGATGTCCTTTTAAAGCTTACAGAATGTACTGTTATTTGAATGATTAACGCGTTTGCAGACCCTTGAAATGTATTGATGGAAATGATTCTTCATGCAGACTGCACAAGGACGAGCAGAGGAAGCTCTGTGGTGCATTTTGTTTGTCCTCTACTCTGCAAAACTCCTGTAAATGAAGTGAGCTTTATTTGTAGCCTGAGCTGAGAGATGGCCTGTGAAAGGTCTGTGTCTGGTCCTCCTTCAGCAGACATCCTGTAATCTGTGCACAAAGACATGGACATAAATGAGGACACACACACATGAAGTATTGCTGTTGTTAGTAATGTCTGGTTTCAGGGAGCCTGTCGAGTCGTAGATAGCGTCCTGTCTGTTCCCATTTGTTTCTGCCAAACGAATAAAGAGAAGGGAGAAAAACTAAGGTTTGGTTTCAGTTTTTATCCAGTGGAAGCTTCACTGTAGGGTGGAGGGAGGAGGGGAGGAGGGAGGAGATGCAGCAAGTGGAGCAGCCAGTTTGGTGCTGAGACCTCGGTTTGGCCCTTGAGGTGGGGGTGGGTATGTTTTCCAGCCAGCGGGTGATCAGTTTTTCCACTGATGCAGAACTGAACTCTGCATGTGTGTCTCTCTGTGAATGTGTGTGTGTGTGTGTGTGTGTGTGTGTGTGTGCCTGCCTCATATTCAACCAAGTACATTTACTCAAGTACTGCACTTAAATACAATTTTGGGATACTTGTATTTTTTTGTAAGTATTTCACTACATTTATTTGGCAGCTATAGTTACGAGCAGGGGCGTAGCACCAAATTCTGGGCCCTATGCATAAGCAGCCTCTCTCTCTCTCTTTTTCCACCACTGCTCTTCAAATTTTTCATTTGGTGAATTTGTTAGCAAACAGTTGCTTATATACATCCAGTTTAATGGAGCAACATTATCATTAATTTGGAGTCTTGATTGTGTCTATCTGACCAAACTAATTTTCTCTTTCCTTTTGGCTATGTTTTGGTCTCTACCGACTCCTGGGGGAAATATTTGTCTCTCCAGCGGTTAAATGCTTCACAATGTTCAGCTAGTCTTTAACTGTGTCTGTCTGCTGTTTGCTGCTGAGCAGGTCATGTACTGTGGCTCTTTACAGCTTGTTCACTAAAAACGACACTATGAGAGCAGTGACAATAAACCAAAACAGTAAAGTTGTGGCCAGACAGCTAAAAAATGAGCTGAAACTCTCTCTAAAGCTCTGTAAAGCCAAGAGAAGCTGCAGATTTTGGGATATTTCAGCATTGTCCCACTGTTTTCACGTTGTTATTTGATACATTATTATCATTATTTTATTAAAAGACTGATCATACCACCTTCACTATTCCCTCACTATCATATGCTTTTATTTGTGCACTACCTGTGTGTGTTTGTGATCACAAAACAATGAGTCCCTCCCCAGATGTTCCTCCCTCCATGTGGACTGTACAGAGAAACCTCTGGCACAACCCTGTGGCTCCCTTCCTCCACCAGCGCACTCAAAACTAAACACAGGGCTTGATGACTTCCAGATTAGGCACATGACAAATAGTGCAATCTGAAGAGTGCAGCAGAAACTGTTGGCCTGTTTCAGTGCCAGAGGCTTTTAGTTCTGCCTTTTTAGTAGAAAGAGTCAGAGAGGGCGAGAGAGAGGAGAGACACAGTCATTGACTTTAGTTTCCCTTAACACCTACTCTTAAGTCTTCTTCTCTTTTAAGACACAGACAATTTACTTTAAAACATCTGAATCACTGAATTAACTGTTAAATGCAAACTTTTCAGCTGAAGTTTACCAATCAGAGTAAAGTCAAGTCAATGGTTTCTGATCATGTAAATGTATGTCAACCACGGTCATGCACTTCCCTCCACCCACCCAGCTGAATTCATGCAGTGACAGCTGAGAGCAGAGCAGCTGACAGTCAGAGACAGCTAACAGCAAGCTGTTTTTTTCACACACTCCTGTAATGTAATGTAATGTAATGTATGAAAGGCATTACAGAAAAGAAGCCCTTGAGTCTGTTATTCCTCCACTGTGCCCCTCCCTGTTGGCACTGGATTGGGTCTGCTACCAGTTTCCTCTTTTGTGAGAGTGTCGCTCTGTTTTATTTCACACAGGTTTCTTTTAGCACAGACTGAAGGACTCAGCACTTGGCCTGCAATTGTCTTAAAGTGTGTTAGAGTGTATATATATATACACACACACACACACACACACACACACACACACACACACACTTTATACTGCTTCTTTAACAGGTCTGTTGTTGTTGCCACTGCTACTGGGAAAAGTAGCCTATTGAAAAGAAAAATCTAAAACTTGATCAGTCATTTTTTCTGATTTTGAATCTAAACAGCCTTGTAGTGTAAGTGTCTGAAAATATTATATAAAGGATCTCTGCAGAGATGGACTTTTTTTTTAACTGTAAGGTCCTTTCTATTTAACTAGAAACAGCCCTGAAACCACCATCACCAAACCCACCAGATATGAATAAACAGTGATTTTTTGTGTCATAAAACACTTCAAAGTCAACAGAAACAAAATAAAACTCACAACAGCTGTCTTGGTTCATCTTTTCAAACAATCACCAGCACTTTCAATGGACATAAATTGATGATGCACAATTGCCCCAAATGTTTACATTACAGCCTGTTTGGTGGCTGCTGGCTGCAGTGCTTTAACTCAATACTGGACCATTTTCAAAAATGGTTCTCCCATTAAGTCACTTAGACACAAAAACAAACAAACAAAAGGGTCCAGGGCAGGCTGAAAAATACCGAAGTTACCCTTTAATTACACATAATCTTTGAAACATGGTTTGTTCTGAAACAGGTCCTCAAAGTTATTTTAATATTATTTTGAGTAAATAACAGTTTTATTGGACTCAAAGATTACATTTATTATAGTGTAATATTATTAGTATTACTACTACTTTAAGTAATAGTAACAAGTACCACTATAACCGTAACTCCTTTGATTACCTACCAAATTAATGCAAGTTTTCGCAGTAAAGCTGTGTTAATTCATCCACTTTTAGTCACTCTGGGAGCAGTACAACAACCTGTAAACACAACACTGGCATTAAAACATAAATTTGTGATGGCTAACATGTTAACAGCCAGTCACTAATTACAAATCCTTATATGCCACCCTGGACATTTTAGTGGTTAGCATTATGCCCAGTTATGAATGTGTGCATTTGTATTATCTCAGTCCCACTATCACTATTTGAAAGCAGTCTTGACAACTACATGAGTTATTTACAATGTTTGCAACTTTTGGAATTATTCATTCTAAATGTGAGAACTCACTGTTCACCTGAGCTGAGTAGCATAGACGTGCAACATATTTGCAGTGCGGTTAGGTTCATCTCATGTTCTATGATAACTACTGACCTCATCTGGTTTTCAGCTGCTGGTGCAAGCCCTCCTAAACACTGCATCTGCCCTGTAATACACAGAGTGTGAAGTGTTATTTGGTCTTGTCTGGATGTTTATACTACATGCTGCACCAATATAAATGTATACAAAAAAGAGAAACTATGAAACACACATACAGAAGAAGAATTTTATTCAGTGTTAATACAATAAATATACAAAACTCAAAACTACTCAACATGCGACTGAAGGTCAAACCAGAGTGCATCTTAGCATTACACAAATTTAGAGCAAATAGCCAACCATCTGTAAATCGTACAAAATATACAAACATCCCTTACTATGTCTTTACAATAATTTAATTAGGATTTATTGTTAGAGATGCTTATGAATTAATTTCATTGTCAGTGTTTCTACCACAAACCATGTTGATTATAAAGCACAGCTTAAAGCCACAGCCCATCTACAGTACGTCACACAGTTCACATTGCATTGCGATCTAACGCCTTTCTCACATTTAGCAAATCAAAAAGAAACAGCAAAATACTGTAAGTGCCACTCAGTTTGATTCTTTTTAAAGGAATAATCTCATGATGCTTTGTACATAAATGTACTCAGGAATACACATGCACTGGTTCATATTAAGCCAGTGTGGAAAAAAAAAGAAGTGGACAAAAAGCAAAACAAGGCATGTTGCAGGAAGCTTAAAAAGAAAAAAAAAGAAGAAGAAGAAGAAGAAAAAAAAGAAAGTCTCTCGAAAGTCAAGAAGGATCCCAGACCCACAGCCAGACTCTGCCCTGCACACAGATTTAAGACTTAAAGGCTGATCCCCTCTATTTACACTCCTACACATCAAATACATACAAAGGCCTAACTGGCTTAAACATGAAACACATCAGACAAAAGAGATCAGACACATTCAAACTGTGGAAACCGCATCGCAGCTCCTGCTGCAGTAACACAAAGTATGAAGAAAAAGACACATTCAAGGACATCTCAGCATGTAAAATGCTTTTGAAATTTTTTAATGACCACATACTGACATTAAAGAGACCTAACAAGAATGAATCTTCTGATTTGATTGCTGGAGTTCAGTGATCGTCAATCCAGTTGGCTAATTATGAATATGCAAGCAATTTTCAGAGCATTACATCAACATTACTGGCCCATTTTTTAAATAATCTTTTTAAAGTCATTTTTATTGCAATATATTGATTTACAGCACATCTATTTTAAAAACAGGAGCCAGCTAGAGTTTAATTTAATACAATCTCTCTCTCTCTCTCTTTTTTTTTTAACCTCATCATGCAAGTGAAGAGTACATCCTGAGTAAAACTGAGGTAAGTCTCCTGTAAGACAGGAAAAAGCTGGAGACAAGTTACACTTTCCTCTTCAAAAAAACAAACTGTATAAACATGCAGCTGTATATACAGAGTAGTGGATCTCTTCCCGTATGTTAACAGTGCCGTGAATTAATTTCTTTCTGAGATGACACTAAAAAGGTAGGCTTTGTGTGAAAACTATGCTGAACTCAGCTGGTACGTGGAACATATGTTAAACTATGTACTGACACTAATGAGCAGGAAGGCGAGAGGCCGTTATTAGAAATATCCTTCCATTAGCACAGATTACAGTGTGCAGACAAAGAATCTGAGATTTAAAGTGCAACTTGGAGTAATTTCACTATGGATATGTAGAACATTATAGGCAAAAGATTTCAAGCAGATAAATACTTGAAAGCAAACTTTAAAGTGACAGTTCACCCAAAATCTTTCGAGTATCAAACAGTGCTTGTAGGCGACACAGGTAGCTGTTAAAAGGCTGTAGTTTTGTAGTTGAATTTAGTTAGTTAAAACAGATTCAAACAGTAAAATGTTCACAATTGGTTAAAAAAAAAAAAAAATCACATCTCATACCACTTTGCAGAGTAATATTACTTCTCCTTTGTCTCTTGTATCTCTACCGCCACTGTGCTGTCAAATCTACAGGCTTTAGTACTGGATCTTAAACAATTAATCTATCAGTCAATTGATTGA